TAGAAATTAATAAAAGCTATAAAGCTATAAATTCATAAAGCTCTTCATAACATTCAACTTCATCATTCTCCAATCATATTTTTTATCTTACCTACATAAATAAAAGTCTCACAACCTATAGATAACCTTTAACAATACAACATAATAGGTATTGGATTATTTGAAAGTAATTAAGTAGATTTATATATAGAGCTACTGGATAAACTATTGGATACAATTTTTGATGTAAACCTTATATGAAAAAAAAAAGCTTTATATAAAAACAAATGTAAGATTTTTGTTTTTGTTTTCATATTTATCTTTGACTCCTAAATCTTCTTCCTTGCTTATTCATCCAATTACTTGTCTAGTTTTATACTTTTTTTTTAACTTGAAAATACTTGTATTCAATATCCTTTCCCATTACATGATCATTAATACTTGACCAAGTTTAAATATTATAAGTAAAAAAGTTTAATATAAGTAAAAGCAAAAAAACAAAAAAAACATTTTTTTCATAAATTTGATATGTCATTCAACAAAGCAAAAGAGCTATACATATTTATCTTTTCATTTTTAATTCATAATTCATAGTTTGGCTTTAAACAATAAAATTGAGTGAAATTTCTTAAACTTAGAAGGAAAAAGGTTTTTACTGCATACTTTTGATCTTTCCAATTTTGAAAGGCACAAATGAAGCAAAGAAAAGATGATAGTTAGAATTTTAAGAACCCTTGCCACTAAAATAGATAAGACAACAAAATCAATCTTTAAAGCTACAAAATTAGAGGAAAAAAAGATTTAGTTACTATAAGGTTAAGAACTTTAAGTAAAAAGGAGCAACTAACTAAGATCCAATAACATGGAATTATGTCAACAGTCACACCATTATTTTTAAACATTCTTGTAAAAAATGCACACCTCAACCATTTTGTTTCATTTTTGGTAACTTAAAAGAAGTATATATTTTAAATTTGAAATACAAATATCATGATCATCAACATTACTTAACAAAAAACTATTTCCCTTCTCCATCACTTTAAGCTAATGATTTAACAATTAGTTATTGTAGTTATTCCTTTCTCCTTTTGACATTTTGATATTATACATTTTGATTAAACTACATATTGTACATTGCCCAAGTTTTTAATCACAAAAATATCTTTTTTATCTAATCCATGATAACAAATATTTTGTAAATTTTTTTTTTGTTTTCTCACTCTCATAAATTGCATATGGAACTTAAAAAACCTACTATTAGTTAAGCAACTATGCATGACGCACCTCCTACTTTTTCAACTACAAATGTAGGATTTTTTTTTATGACTCATAAATCTCTTTCCCTACTAATTAATCCAATTACTTAATTGTTTCTTGTCATACTTCTTTTTGCCTTACAGTTTTCATGATGATCAACATTACATAAAAAAAAAAAAAAACTAATTCCTTTCTACATCAGTTTAAGCTAATAATTTAACAATCAGTAACTTTATGATTTATCATACTATATACTATACATTACCTAAATTTTTAATCACAGGGATATCTTCTTTATAGGATCCATGATAACAAATATTTGTAAATAATTTTTTTTGTTTTCTAACAAATATTTGAGTTCGAAAAGCTTACTGCTAGTCAATAAACTATGGGTCATGCACCTCATGCTTCTTCAACTAAAAATCTAGAAATTTTATTTTTATTTTTGTCTTTAACTCATAAATTTCCTTCCTTGCTAATTAATCCAATTACTTAATTGTTTCTTTTGATACTTTTTTTTGCCTCAAAAGTACTTTTATTCAATATACTTTCTTATCACATAATTTAAGTTTCTCTATCAATAAAATATAACACAATATAAAACTCAATAATAATAAAAAAAAAAACTTCAACTTCAGATTAATCAATTGATAAGCAAAAATTAAATATAAATGTCAACAAACAAATAACACATAAAACCTAACAAAACAAAATATATAATAAATAAGAAAAACATATATTACAATTCATACAAACCTGAAAATTTAATATCCAAAGAGCTTAAAAAAACCCTGAGACAAAAAAACAACAAAAAATAAATCAAAAAAAAATTACAACTTTATTCAAACAACATGAAAAACAAAAAACTCTAAAAAAAAAACAACAAATTATGTTTCTATAAATAATAATTCAATTTTCATCAAACATCAGAACATACAAAGAGAAATTATTAAAAAAAAATACATTCACAATAACATGGAAATCTGAAAACCACAAAACCCAAACCCTATTTAACATACAAAGGTGTAACACCAAAATCATCCAAAGAAAACCTAAAAAAATAGAAACCTGCATTCAATTAAACAATAACAAAGGAACCACAAATTTTACGCAAAAACATCAGAGAACAAAAACTATGGAAGAAAATAATAACCAACAATCACAAACCACAAAAGACTCTATTTTATACTAAAGTTACACTCTTTGAAATAGTAATGAAAACCCAAAAACAAAAGCTTTAAAATTCAAGTTTAAACACACATGTTAAAGTAAAAACCCATATGTCAAATATAAAATAACAAGAGCAAACATCTGCAAGCAATGAAAGAAATTTCTCATTTTTTGGTTTGAGCAAAACAATTCACTTGACCCTTACTAAAATGGCAAAACCCTATAAAAAAAAACCCAAAAAAAATACATGTGGCAAGCTAAGATCCCTTAAGAGATACTTTTTATATGAAGTTATATTGATTATTGGCCAAATAATAATAATAATAATAATAAGAGAAATTCTCACATCTATTTTCAAAATCAACATGATGATACAAATCTCACATTTGGTGTATAGGATGATGGATGAGATAAGATAATAATCATCTTATAATATATTTATTTTGTATTTAAAGAAAGTGATAGAGTTATAAGGAGGATTAATCATCCTCTTGGTATAGAATGATTCAATATTTTCAAAATAAAATGATTATTTTTAATCCATGGGATTAAATTTATATATTCTATTATACACTTAAAAATTACATCAATAATTTAAATTGTATAGCTTTAAGAAAGAATAATTTTGATCAATAAATAAATTATCCTATCTTAACCCTTGCACATATTAAACATAAGAAAGGATAACATTATTTAACCTAATCCTATTTATAATATAATCTTATCATATCTTATCATATATAGTGTATCAAACACATCTTTAAAGTATAATAAAAAATTAAAAAATAGAATATATTATAATTATTTATAAGAATGTCAACGGATAAGGTATGAGACAGATAAAATATTTTTCATCTTTATCTCTGGTTTTTTATATTATCCTATTCTTATACCCATATCCAATAAGTATTTCAAATTCATTTTCATTCTCAATCTCATGAGTATTTAATAAATATGGGTAATCTTCGTACCCATAACTTTTTTAAAATATAAACAATAAAATTTATTTTTTTATATTTGACTTGAACATTTATGTAACTTTTTATAAATATATACATATTTTTAAATACAAATATATTAGTTATAATTAATTTAAAATAAAATTTATATTATTAAATATATATAAATATATATAGAGGGTACGAATACGGGCAAATATTATATTACCATTCTCATACTTGTATCAGATGAAAATTTTAAAATCATATTTATTTCCTTCTCTACCTCTAAAATTTAATATCCAACTTATTTCCATTAAGATAAAGAAATCAAATTTCCATTGAATTTGAATAAAATTGATATCCTTGATCATTTAATCCCATTTATGATGTAAAAAATGATCGGTATATACGAACTCAATAGGTACTAAGGTATCGTATTTTTATGAATTTAGATAACATATAGATAGAGGGATAGATAGCGGGTAAAGCGTTTCTTTCAGATTCAGAAGCAGAATATTTGGTAGCAGAGTTTTAATATCGATTTACATCAGTTTAGGTGTTATTTAGTCAACTCTACACATCAGGAAACACGTCTTTATTTTGGTAGTGATGCTTAAGTACATATAATAATTAAATTAAATTTGCAAAAATTAGTCAGAATTACGAAGATAATATTTCTTTACTTTTCAATTAAAAATTATTTAAAAAATTAAAATTAAACATTGAAAGCATTAAATTTGTAGAGCTTAATACATAGATTGTGGATACAAACTTATTAATATTTTATTTCAAATTCGCCCAATCTGTGTTTAAATTGTGTATATACATTTTTTAGTTCAATTCTTTATATTAATGTTTTACTCTTTAATCTCCATTAATCTACTGATTTTAATTTGTATTATAACAATTTTTAGTTAAAAATTTGTGTCAATTTTATTTAAATAATTTTATTTAAGTTTTAAAATCTAACTAAAATTAACATGTTACGTATTTGAATAGATTTTGGGTAATAATATATTGTGTATAATATATATATATATATATAACTGTTTGTAATTTATTTTACATTTGAAATTGTTAAATTTTAAATGAGGGAGAAAAATCAATATTGTATACCATAGTCTCAAGGGTGTAAGATTCTTCAATCGAAATCTAACTTCTTCATTTTAATTTTTTTTTTCATTAACTAAACTACACTCAAAATTACCAATGAGTTTGCAACTTAATGATATTAAAATCAGTTTCAGCATTCAACTCAAAAATGACAAAAAAAAAAAAAAAACTACACTCAAAATTAATTAATTTAAGGGTGGCAAATTGATATTATTAACTAAATTAATTTATTTTAATTTAAGGGTGCAAAGTTGACATCCCAAACCTTTTTCTCACTTAGCAAGGCCTTTTCAATATCATTAAGATGCGAAAACAACGGATGAACAGTCAATTTTGCTTGCTCAAGTTTTCATAGTTTTCAAAAAAAAAAAAATTTAAAACCTCTTAATAAACAGCCGAAGCTATATAAATATATATATATATATATGTAATTGACTATAAATATAAATAAAGTCTATCAAATTATAATTTAAAAGCAGACAGCTTTGTTCCCTTTGTTTGTTTATTAATTGGCCAATCAAGAACTTGCTACACCGATTCAGAAACTTCTCCTTAATTGTTTTAAAGGATGATGAGAGAGAAACCAGTTGATAATCACAAAATGTTTTTCCCTGTAATGATTTCAACATAGTTGCATAATGAAGACGAATTACCATTCATTTACACATGGCAGATGAAACACTGACAAAAGAAAATCATAACCTTCACAATTACAGAACCTGGCTGTAAGCATTAAAACATCCAATGCGGTACTTTTCTTTCAACCTTCTTCTCCTTTATAGTATCCAAGCTTGGTTTCCATCCCTTGCCTGAATATTGTCTGTTCAAATACTCCGGCCTAACTTCCACATTTTCCGGCAAAAACTCCGTCAAACATCGAACTTCCTCTGGCCTCTCGCAGCTGTTTTCAGTCTTCTGCGACGGGTACTGTTGTCGTATCTCTTCAATATTAACTGCGGGACAAATCCTTGCAAACAAAGGAAGATACCTCGAGGACGACAAAAGAGATTTCGATCTCAACACGGTATTCGCACTCAATTGTACACGACGAGCTTCCTCAGATGACAACGTGGTTGGCTTCCCTCTCTTTACTGGTATCATTACGTAAACCTTGTTCATGTCAAGTTTCTGATCAGCTGGCAATGGAATCGGCCTCTTCTCATTAACTGCCGCCTGGAACTCCACAACAACGTGTTGCGGATGCTCCAGCATCAGCTCTGCCGCTGTCAAGGGCCAGCTAAACTCCTGCACGGAGCCGTCCCAGAGAAGGACTTTCCCAGCGGTGTCAGACGGACGGCATGTAACTGTACTAATGTAGTTACCCATATGATGACAATGATATAAGAGAAAAAGGAAAACGATTTTCAGTACTGTATAAAAAGGTGAAGTAAAAATAACAGAAAAAGGAAAGATGATTAAACCAAAAGTAAGGGTATGAATTTCTGATTCATGTGAGTATGATTAAGAAAGCATTTTATGCAGGAATATTGTCGAGAGCGCCTTCAAGTTCTACTAAGTGTTTGGTAAACCGCTCCTCCATCTTGTGAAGGGTTTTATCGGTGGACTTGGTAATATCATAAAAATTGGGGTCGTTGGCTGTTAGAGGGCCTGCCTTGCTTCATGTACATAGTCTGATTTCCCTTGTATATATACAAGATTAATTCAACGATGATGAATGACCTACACATGTGAGGACTGGGGACCCTGGCGTAGGTCTACAGTACCTGGCGTGGATAGAAAGGCAAAGAAATGGTTCAACCATAACTATATTAACTAGTTTAATGCTTTAAATTATGCGTTACGTGATTGAGTTAAATTTGAACTTAGACTTGACCGTCCATCTAACTTTAAGATAATCTTGTACATATACACGGGAATCGAGTATTCATGATTTGTTATACTAAGATAATCGAGTATTCATGATTTTTTTTAATTTTATACTAAAACAAGTAATTGTTCTAAAGTCTAGTGGTACATTGAACTCTTTCTCCTCCAATTTTTCACTAAAGGGTCAGTGGAAATTTTGACCATAGGGGTGCTATCCAAATGATACCTTTGGAGGGACAAAACACCCTTGGATTCTACCGCACTAGATTGCGGTGGAATCTAAATCAAACTAAGTTTTTCCCGTGGGTTAAACCCTTGGATTTTAATTCTCGCTGCTGGTATCACTGTCTTCACTTTTTCTTTTTTTTTTTATCTCCGGTTTTGGGAAAGATCAAACCGTATCGTGCACGGGCATATAGGGGACTAATCTTTTATGATGACATGAATTCGCGTCCCTGTACCAGGATTTGCAAGGAAACAAAAGATGTGCAAATCATAGTGTTTGTATCTAATATCTTAATTATAAAGGCAACGATTTGTTTCTTTGAATTAAGATTGAGGGGGCTTAACGTGACGGCGAGAATTGGTTTGGTCTCATGTTTGTTCCTTTGTGGATAACAAATATAGTGGACATTGATTATTTAGTGCAAATACAAAGATGTCAAAAGCAATTTAGCAAGCGGGATGGGTGACTAAAGGATGAAAACAACAGCTTAACTTCATAAACGCTATGGCATGTACCAAATTGCTTTAGAAAATGTTAAACGACCAAAGATTAAAGGCTAAGAAATTGTACGTGACTTTCGTATTGGACATCGTTTGTTTACGTATAGTATACTACGTATCTGTTTAGTACACTACAAAAGTTCAAAATTAGATGCATTCGATCCAAACATCTCTTTCAGATGGTTTCATCACGGGCAAACTAGGAAAGTAAACAGGAACTTATTCTATTGACAGGCAAGCAATAGGAAAACTCAATACCCACCGGCACCTTGCTCTTTTGTTTTTTTTTTTTTTTTACCCTTAAAGTTATATTATAAATACAAAATATTTTTATAATTTTCTTTTATTTTTATTTTGATTTTTATTTAAAATTTGAAGTAATTTTATTAATTTTATATAATAAAAATATTATTTGATATTATTTTATTAATTTTTAATTATTTATTAAAAAACTATTATTTTGTATTAAAATAGTTTAATAAATTTTTAATTATTTATTAATTTTATAAATGTTAAATAATTTAAAATTTTTATTACATATACTTTTCAATCTAATATCTTTAATAAGTTTTTTTTACTACAATTCATCTTACTATCATCATCATTTTTACCTCCAAAATTTAAATACTTATTTCATTATTATTTTTTATCTTATATTCACAATAACCAATTTAACCTCTATGGTTACTTTTAATCTTATAAAAATAATTTCACCACCCATCCAAAAAAATCTTTAGAAGCTTTAGGGATGGGTGGGTGAAGTAAAAGTCGAGCCGATGCCTGATCTGACTGCTACTTGCAGCCTGTAGGCCATTGATGACATGATTTCAGTAAAGTATAACTTTCACACATATTAACGTAAGTAAAATGGGTGCAAAATTGTTTAGCCAAATCAAATTCCAACAACTAGAATTCCCTGCATTTTCTGTGATATTTATTTAAATGTTTTTGCATTTTAGCTGACAACTCTAAGTAATAAAACTACTGATTTGAGCAGTTATTACTAGAGATTTAAATTACGGTAGTGATTATGTTTTTAGTCGCACATATTTATCGCGAATACTGATATAACGATTGTTATCGTAATCATTACACTAATTGCGACCATAAATTTTTTTTAATTTTGTATAATTTATTATAAAATATAATAATTATAATTATAAAAACTCTTTTTAATTATTTTTACAGTAGTTTTATGACTATTTTTTATTTATATGAGAAAAATAATATTCACAATTTTTTTTCGGCTCCCATCCTCCAAACAACTTCACATTTATTTAATTTATTAATAATGTATCACTTCATTTATAAATATTCTATAATTAAAAAATAAATAATAACACACTTATTCACAATTTATTTATTTTCATAAATATTTTTATCTCAAATCTCATATTTTTGAAAAAAATTACTAACATGAACTAAAAATGAACAAGTATATAAATAAAAACTAAATGGTATAAAAATTATATTTAATTAATGTTTTAATATTAAAGCCTAAAATCATAGATCAACTAAGCCAAAAACCAAATAAGTTAGCCAACTTTTGGGCCAAAACAAAATGGGGTCCAATCCAAGCCATAGTCCATTTCTTTCCTCTTTTATTTTCTTTTTTTTTTTTTCCTTAACCTTAAAAGTTAAAACCTTGTAAGTTAGTTCTTTCTTCTACCCTTCTTTTTTCTTCTTTCACGAGCACACCTCTTTTTCCTTCTTAACTCGAAATGCCACTTCTAGTTTCAGTTACCGCTCATCGCTACTCCATTAATTGTCCAGCTCAGCTTTCTCTTACTTCTTTCTTCCAATCGACATACCTTTCTCTTTTTTCAAACTTGAAACTCCACCTCTTACTTATTTATGCTTGATCTTGATTTAGTTTTTGAATTTAATTGAGGTTGTGTTTTTTGTTTTGGGGCTTTTCTCAAATGAAACCAAATGATATATATATTTTTTTACAAAAAATAAAGTTTCAACAATAACAATTAATTATTGTCATTATTTATTGTTAGGCCATTTTTTTACAACAGCAACAAGCCATTATCATTGTAAATGGCATTTTCAATCAATTTTTCTTCAACAGTGGTGGCGAAGGCCTATGTTACTACAAAATATAGATTGTTATACCGTTTTTCCATTGTTTTTTAAATAATACAAGAACATTGTAAAACACCAATGAATTTTTACTGACGAAAATTTTTTGTTAGTATTTACCAATGGATCATAAATACAAAATTACCATAAAATTATTGATGAAATTTCACCAAGCTGCAAATGGAATTTACCGATGGAAAAAATTCTTCAATATTCTGTAGGTGATGATAAGGTAGGAATTTGGCAAATCGGTGTAGGAAATACCAACAAAAAAATTCATCTCTAATCCATTTGCAAAATTTTTACCAACGGATTATCGATAAATTTTTTCGCTAGTAAAGAATTTTCTTAAAAAATATTAAAAAAATTATTTGGTATAAAATAAATGGAATTAATTAAAAATTTTATATTATCGTTGAAAAATCCGTCAATGAAAGCAATTAAAATTTTTGATTACCAGTAAAATTTCATTGATAATTCGTCGGTGAAAGTAATTAAAATAAAAACCCCTAATTCTTTTCTTTCTCCTTCGATAGAAATCAGAATCCCTAAACTTTTAAAAGCCTCGCTCGACCTAATTTTCTCTCCTCTCGTTTTCCCCTCTTCTTACCCATCGCTATCATAGTTTTGCCATGCCACAGGTCCTTTCTTCCTTTGTTGCCAGAGCATTCTTCTTTAAGGCCAGACCATTTTCTTGTCATTCCACTAGTTGTTCCTCTTTTTCTCTCATGCCTTACCTTGCCATCTTTCTCTCTTTGTGGTTTTTGCCATCCTTACTTTCTTGCATAAGTACTAACTTAGGGAATATGAATCTATATTGAAATTTTTTTAGATTGAATCTGCATTGAAATTTCATTCTTTGGACTAAAATAGGCATTTTTTTGTTTATTTGAATTTGAAATAGGCATTTCTTTGTTATTGATATAAAAGTATGATCTCATAGTAAAATTTCAAAGCATATTCTCAAATTTTAAACAATATATTATTGCATATGTACCTTTGTTGGAGAATTTTTGTTGAAGTTTTGTGTTTTTGTTGCTTACTTTCTTTGAACTAAAATGGGCAATTTTTTTTTTTTATTTGAACTAGAAATAGGCATTTTTTTTTTGTTATTGCAATAAAAGCAAAATCTCAAAGTAAAATCTCAAAGTATATTCTCAAACTTTAAACAAAGTACTATTACATATACACTTACGTTATAGAAGTTATTGAGTAAAATCTCAAAAAGATAAGAATGGTTGCAATTGCAACAACTATATGACTTTTAAGCCTTTTGACCATTTGTATAATTCAATCTCTATAGTTTTCAATAATTTTTTTGGCAAAAAATTTTTAATGCATCATATTTTACAAATACATTTATCAATAAAGTCCATTACAAGTGCATGTGCAAGAGATTATATTTTATGAGTTAATTAATTATACTAATAGTATTAAAAGAATATTTTTATTGTATACACATGTCCAAAACATATGTGCATACATGTGTCAAATACCAATTACTGCTTTTTAAGAATTTAATTGCTTATATTTCAATTTAATATATTAAGAGTTATATTTTTTTGGACATTTACAATGATTCAATTAGGGTTGAAAAAATGGATAAAAACCACAATTGGATATATTTTTATTTAGAAGTAAATGGATAGATTAATAAAACTTCTATGATGTTGTGAAAGAATCTATTGGATATGTTTAGTCTCAACCATACTTTGTAATTAATGGGAAGATTATGTGTCTTTGTACCCAATGTGAGAACAAATTATTTATAAAAGTGAATGTTGTGTATGAGCACCTTTATTATAAAGAGATTACTCTTGGTTATACGAGTTGGGTCTCACATGACAAGTTAGAAGTAGGACAACCATCAATAAACACAGATACCTTCGAATCGATTAATGAAGTAAAAATAAAAAATTCGTATACTAGAATGGTTATGGATGCTATCTATCTTAATTTTGGGATGGATGCTTCTTATGCTAGTGAGGTAAGAGTTGACGAGGAAGATTCAAGTGTAAATGCGACAAGCTTCTATTCTTTGTTAAATGATGCAGATGAATCGTTGTAGTCAGGTTATACAACTCACACAATCCTCTATGCTAAGTCATAATTTTTAAATTGTAAATTAGAATTTAATATGAGTGAGTTATGTTTTAGTCATCTTATGAGTATAGTGAAAAATATGTTACCGGTGGATGATAAATTATTAGAAAACTTCTATAAATGAAAAAAAGATGATGAAACTTGGACTTGGTTATAAGAAAATTCAT